TAAAAGTCCTGAAGTGATACTGTCAAAATGGCCATATTACTACGAGAAAATGTAAAAATGGAAAGAAAGTCTTTGTAAATAGGCAGGGGTGGAGGGGTTGAAGGGAGGGCAGGGGAACGGGGAAAAATTAAGAACCAAGATGGATTATGTAAAGGTGCACATCTTCAATGATGAATGTAACTGTATTGTGTACCTAAAATGTACCAATAAAATTAATAAAAAAGAAAACTTCCTTCAAAAATAAAACAAAATAAAAATGTCCATATTACTAACAATAATATATAGATTTAATGCAACTCCACTAAAAATAGCTTCAATATACTTCACAAAACTAGAAAAAAACACTTCTAAAATTTAAAACCAAGGCAGGAAGAATTAATATCCTAGACTTCAAGTTATATTACAAAGCCACAGTGGTAAAAACAGAATGGGAATTTACTTCTCAGAGGACTAATATCTAGAATACATAAAGAACTAAAAAAAAAATTAGGTCCCCAAAATAAAAGATGAAATCAAAAATTGGGCAGTTGAAGTTAAATGAGTAGACACTTTTCAAAAATAAATATGTATATGAAAAAAATAAGTACACAAAAAGTAAATACATGAAAAAATGTTCAGCATCTTTGATCATTAGAGAAACGCAAATCAAAACATCACCGAGATTCCATCTTCTCCAGAATTAAATAAATAAATATCCTGGAGATATTATCTATTTATGGAAAAACTAAAGTTAACACTATAGTTGATATGAACAATACATTTTAGATTAATCATATAGTTGTATATATATTAAAATCCTAGAAGAAGTAGATGGTGTGAATACTCAATATTATTGTTCAAAACACTAAACTAAACAAATATAAGGATAAGAATAAATGAGATTTTTTTCCAGAAAAGATTGTATAAACACTTCTGTGCATGTGCATATGCTAAATTACTATGATAAAATTATGAGACAGTTGGCAATCTTAGAAATGCAATATACTTGACAGAGTTATATTATTTTAAAAATATATAAAAAGTATAAAATTCTATGACAAAGATAAGTACTCCAACAGAAAAGTGGTCAAAGGAAATAAGCAACAACTCACAAAAGAAGAAATTGTCAAAAAATAAAAAGCATGCTGAGCTTACCAGTGTTCAGACATTCAAAATTTATGAAGAACATAAAATGTTTTTTTCAGTTTTACAGTAGCAAAAATTAAAAATACATCTGTTAATGGACTATCCCTTACATTTTTAACAAGAATGTAAAATTATTTTGCAATATGCTATAAAATTACATTATAAAAAGCCTTAAATGTTACTAGTTGTAATTTTTTTGAGAAAACAATCAGAAGCCTCCACAAAGATTTTTGTATAATAATAATATT